CAAAAAAATATACACGACACTTATTGAGAAAGGTGTTTTCTCGAACAACTTGGGGTTCACCACTGGTATTGCTTGATGCGTCCAGCGTGTCTCCATCCGTTTGATGCTGCAACGCGACTCCGATCATGCATATTCCCATCAGTTGCTGTCGATCTGTTGAACGCAGAATGAGCGCATGGGATTGTGCGTGGTAAATAGTAACACAAACGCCAATTCTGGATTAGATTATAAAGTAGTTATTATTACTGACATCGGCCATATTTTGCGATTTTCACACACGGCCATTTGACTTTCAAATCGTTTGTTGTTTGAATAATGCAACATCTAATTTCCAAACTTGTATTGAGCAATGATAAAGGACTGACATCTGATTGAATACAGAGCCACGTGTTTGGTCGCCACGAAAAAGTTATTTTTCACTTTTGGAATGTGGTGATAGACGGAGCAGAAGACCTCCATCGTCAGCGTGATCGTTTTTACGGGAACGTTATTCGGGAAATTGAAATGCTCCACAAATTCTGCATCAGCCAATATCTCACGTATCTCACCGAGATGAAGTGATCGAGTCTGAAATGTCAAGAGTGAAAGATCAAGATTGTAAAAATTGTTCTTTGCTTTCAAACAGCTACACACTTTTACAATATTTATGGTAGATCCTAATGGAAATCTCCATGGCTTTATGGGTAATTTCCGCTTTATGACAGGGCGCCAGTGAGGTATGTTGTGTACGCAAAATGATTTCAGCAAACCGTTACATGACCGTTCGCATTTGGTTCCCAGACAACGGAAGATCGCATACAGAATCCAAAGAAAATGTTTTGGCGGTGCATTTATTTCCATTTATCTACTTCCACTGAAATCGTACCCATTTTGAAAGACTACAGTCACGCTGCAATCTAGAATCTGCAAACCTACGTGAATTGATGGAACAGAACACTGGAAACCGGAAATACCGAATCGTAAGTTTTCTCCGTTACAGATTCAATATAAGTGTTTGTGAGATTTAACCTGCTTATGGTTCATCGAAATGTGACGACGCATACGTCAAGTCAAGTCAAATCAAGTAAAGCCTAATGCACCCAATAGGATGATTTGTCGGTACATTTTACAAGTTACAGTAAGGAAAGCTTTAGACATTGGATAAAGAAGGAATACACACCTACTAAATGAAAATCAAATGAATGTGATAAAATGCTAATGTGACAGATACTTATCCAAGTCATTGGTACTATTCGCTCGGCTGACCAAGAAACGAGCACAATTAGGGATGATGCTGTTTTACGTGTGGTAGTGCTTGCACAGAGAATCCATAATTCGGAACGACTATTCGGATGAAACGCCGATTTATTGAGATGGGCATACAAGCATAGCATATCATTTGACAGTATATGACTGATAAATCTATCGCATGAACCAAAATGCTTTCCAACAGTAAATTCAACCAAAATGATCTTTGAAATGTCACTGCAACGGGAGAGAAGTTTAGGAGTTCCAAAAATGAGAATAAAGACTTTCTCCTTTAGATGAGGGAAATATACAGGGTAACAATACAACCAATGCGGAAGAATGTATGCAGTCACAAATTTTAGAATTACATTTAGCGGAACACCGAACGTTTCAAGTCTGGAAGCGTAGAAGAATAGCCTACGAACCCTACTGTAAATGTGTTCAANCTAAAAATAGTATGTAGGCAAGTGATTTTGTGATTATTCCCAGATTAGCTTTGGAGATCATATTAAGGTTACTAGAAAGTTCTGTCGGATTAATCCAATGGGTATGCTGGCAAGGTATGCACTATCTTAAGGGTAAGTGATTCATCCAGACATTTATCTGCGTAAACCATTAAAAATCGAAGTGTCAACCAACTAAATTGTGATTTAGACAGACGTGAAATGAACAGAACCAATTAGGAACAGTCGAGTGACAACCGACCGCGACGTCATCAGCATACTTGTAGGCGCTAACGTTTGGATTGATGGTAAGATCCTTAA